GTGGGGGAGTGTGAGTGGATACTCCCCGCTCACTGCTGCTGCTCGCTCTGCAACCCTGATCCTCCTGTCCTGTTGTTTCTGCACGCTGTGCTGCGACCCAATACTGGCTGGATTTCCTCACACCCACCTCCTGTGTTGCATCTGCCCACCACGACTCGTGCTCGGGCCTCTGCAAAGGGAGCATGCAAGCAGGTGAGGTGATGCAGGGTTCATCAACGGTGCTTGTGGCAAGCTATGGCAAGCCTGCCGAACCCCCATTCCCAGTCACTCCTCGTGGAGCAGCCATTATATTGTGCAGCAGCAGTTGAATTCGGCAACCGAAATCACGAGCACCCCTGCATACAACAAGTCAGGTACCACTGCGCAGCTTCCAGTCGCTGCAGCAGTCATTTGTGTGCATGCATGCAATCAGTGTGCCAATCGCTCCACCGAATGCTCCATCTTATCCAACAAGCGTGTACGTCGCGCTTGCCAGGGCCTGTTGCAGAAGGCGTGCGACCCTCTGAAATGAGGCATGCTTGCGTGGTTTCATAGCAGGTCCGCACGTGGATCTGCACACCTCGCTCTGTGCCTCAGGCCTTGCTTGACCTTTTCTGGCGCCCTCCTCCCCCTGTACCATTCCTGGCTCCATCACGGGCATCTCTATCGACTCACAACAGCAGCAGGTGTGCCAAGGTTGTTTTGCGATCGTGCTCCCGGCGATCCTGCCAACCCCGCATCACCTGATAGCTGCGCGTGGTGCACCCATGAAGTGATGCAGCAGCACCCCTATCACGAGTCACATCAGAAGTCCCGCATTGACCACCACGCACGACATGCCAGCTACCACTGGCCACATGTCTTCTGCACCAACGCCTTGCAACACTACCCGGCATACTACCCCCGTATTGACCCCTGGTCTTGACCTTTGCCCTGGGTCCCCCTGCCCCTGCATGTACCCTTCATGGCCGCTGCTTGGCTGCTATGGTTGATTCACAGCAGCAGGTGACATGCTCAAAGGTTCAGCACTGCTGCCTGTGGCGATTGGTCAAACCCTCCTCAACCTTACCCTGCTCCACCCACTATCACCTGCATGCATGCATGCTTGCTTGCTTGCTCTGACCGATGTGGAGCGTTGCAGCAGAGCTACAGATGCACTCGAGTGACGTGAACCTCCACGCCCTCGCTTGCAGGGACCTGTCCAGGCGGCTTTGAGAGTGCGCACCAGTGGCAGTGGCTGCTGACCGAATACGTCCTTGAGCCAGGGATCGTTGGCCTTCACAAATCAGCCGCGCAGCGCTTGTGGGATGCGGGCAAGCGGCGCCCCTCTGAGGTGGCCAGCATGCAGGCTTCAGAGCTTCAGTTGCTGCTGCAGTGCGACGAGCGCACAGCACACAAGCTCCTTGAGAGATGCCAATCGTATCGTTGTGAGTGCACTCACATGCGAAGTTGCATGATGTATGCACCAGCGGACCATGAGCTTGCGGATACCAGCAAGCATGCTTTGCTGCTAATGCTGATGTGCGCACCAAAGCAGAGTTGTGGCTATTTGCTGCATCCTTGCCAGCGCATGCACGCACGCGCGCTCTTGCCTTTCATGCAAACAGCATGTGCTTCACCACACTGTTTAATGGCTGGTGTGCAATAACATGCATGGGGCTCTGGGGCTCAAGGCGGCGTTTTTTGGGACGTCTGGCATGCAAGGGCAGGAAGCCGCAGTGGGCCCCATGATCGTGCGGCTTTGCCCTGCTGACCTCCCCTCCCTTCTCCAGACAATCCATTTGAATGCAATTGCTGCCGTGAGCCATGTCCTGGCTCTGTTAGCAACTGATTGCCAGAACCATACCACTCCACCCTGTACATCCTCAAAAGCTCAGTTCTGTGTGCACGTTCTGCGCACCCGTTGAATCTGTGCCCCTTTGCCACCTGGCAGGGCTTCACACGCGGGAGCAAATCCTCTCCAAGTTTCTGCCTGATCTCTGCGTCAGCCAGAGCGACGGCAGTACGCCTGAAGAGAGTCCTTCCATCCCCATCGACGTGAACCTCAGCGTGTGGGAGATACGTGCGGACCTCACAAGCTTCAAGCGCTCCCTGCCACCTACCCCTTCACTGTTCCCAACGATCCAGCAATACTCATGCGCGGTCTGCCAGGGGCTGGGCTGTGCAGAGGGCTCTCATGATGAGCTGCGCGTCAGCACCAATGCAGATGTTTCTGTATTGCTGCAGTCTGCTGCTGCTGCTGCTGCTGCTGCAGATGTTTCTGTAGTGCTGCGACCGGCCACACGAGGACCAACGCGCCAACCAATGCAAATGTTGATGAGTGATGTGTGCTCACCCCTTCTTCCTGCAGGGCCCACTTAGGGGGTTCCACCTGGACTACGGCTACTACATCAGTCTGTATGAGGCGGTCAACAGGCTGCTGCGCGTTGATTCCGCAGCTGACAGCACGGAGTGCTATCAGCTTCAGCAGCACAAGCCGTCTGCTCTGCCTGATAGCGGGGTGAGTGTGTGGCTGCAATACTTCCAATTGTAAGCGCTGCTGACCGTGCGAAGCCTGTCCTTTTGTGCAGCCATTACCTTTGCATGCATTCTGCCATGCCACCTTACCCATCGCGGCTCATGGCTAGGGCACCTACCTTGTCCTGTCAGGGGGCTGGAAGGGTGCGCCGCGTGGCAATGGAGCAGGCCGGCATGCGCCGCATTCCGGACGTGGTCCTGTGCCCCGCGTCCGACGATGACGGATGCGACATCCTGATTGCAGAGCACAAGCTTGTGTGAGTTGGGTGAACGCCTGCGCACTTCAGACGGTCGGCAGCTCAGCTGGCTCCCAACCCTGCTGGCTCAGTGGTCTGTGTCCCATTTGCCCATCAGCCATTATCGGTCTGCGTACCGTTGTTTGCAACAAGCCCGAACAACGGCATTGCTGAGGGTGTGTGTTTGATTTAGTCGGTTGGGGCTCACATCGACTGTGTTCCCCCGAGCCACACAGTGCCCACGCTGCACCCCCAGTGCTTGGTGGATGTCACACACACACACACACACACACACACACACACACACACACACACACACACACTGTTTGCTGATGCAGGGAGCGCCTGCTGGTGGATACTGTCGAGGGTCTGCAAGGGCAGCGGCCTGCTTGGCTGCAGGGCGCGCCCGTGAGGCTGCGGGATGTACACGCCAACTGCCTCAAGACAGTGGACGCCCCCAACATTGCGTACGTGTGGGACCACCCCACGGAGGTCCCTGGCGACATGCTTGAGAGCATCCAGGTTGTCATCAAGCAGGTGGGTGACACATGACACAGCGACTGCCGCGGCACGCAAGCTTGAGTCAACAACCGTGTGATTGGTACATAATGAGCTACTGTTGCTGACAGCATAGCGGGCCAACTGGGACGGCGCGGATGCAGGTGTTCAGAACAGTTTTCATATCCTGAATCCAACGCGCTCACTATGCTCTCCACCTGCGCTGTGCACTCATTTTGCAAGGTGGTGCAGTACCTCAGGGACCGCGACTTGAGCCTGGCATGGTTCGGCAACTACTTCTACACGTGGGGGCTGAGGCTGGAGGGCGACACGGCGTACGTCACAGAGGCGTTCCCTCGCACTTCCAATGATGTTATCCTGGTGCGCGGACCGCTGACGTGCCTGGGTGCCTCGAATTGTCACTGCTTGGCACCCTGGCCAGCTACTCTATGCCACAATCTTGCTTGAACTCAGCAGGATGCGGGAATACGGGTGGTTCAGGAGAGTCCACACGGCGTTGCTGCTGCAAATCAAATTATTGGACAGCTTGCCCTAAGAGCGCCGGCAACCCTGTGCCCACTTTGAATCTACAATCGGGCCTTATTTGCAGGTTTCCTCTGACTTTCAGCCTCGGCAGGCATTTATGCAACCTGCAACCTGCTATTGTATGGTGCCTGGATCCGCCTATGCAGGTGGCTTGGGTATGTAATACAGCGGTTCTGGCGTTGTTGTCACTGACACCATCACCCCCCTCCCTGCACTGCACACAATTTGTAGATGGTGTACTTCCTGTGTTGCCAGGCCATACGGGACGCCAGTGCACGCACGGCCACGCCTCCCTCAAGCGGCAGCGCGCGTGCACCTGCAGCAGGCGGTCCTTCCGGGGAGGGCATTGGCGGCGACACAGACCGAGGTGGCGGTCCGGATGTGGGCGGTGTGCACTTCGGCAATGCGGGCAGCAGCAAGCAGGGTGCCACTGCAGGGCATGCCATGACCCTGCGGCCCCGCAAAAGGACGCTTGCCACGCCTCAGCAGCTTCCTGCTGCCGGCCCTGCAGCGGACTCAACCCGCTCAGACCAGTTGTCTGACCGCGACCAGGGGCACTCGCAGCAGCAGCAGCAGCAGCAGCAGCAGCAGCAGCAGCGGGGGCGGCGGCGGCGGCAGCAGCAGCAGCAGCAGCAGCAGCAGCAGCAGCATCAGCAGCAGGGTGTACGCAGAGCCTCGCCAGAGGAGGCGGCTGCTCAGGTCGACGTGGCCCTTGTCCAGGCGGCCATCGGCTTTGGCAGGATGGGTTACACGTTCCTCTACATGTAAGTTTGCATACTTGTGCAGGGCGACCCCCACATGATGCTTTTGATTTTATTGCACTACGGCATCACCGCATCATGTCTTCCTTATGTCAGACACGTGTGCATGAAACAGTCCTTATCGGAATGTTGATCACACAACCACAGCTTGGCTTGACTGCTGCACTAGGTGCATGCAATGTTTGCAGCATCATGTTGACCGAGTCTGGTGCACACACATACCCACTGTCCAAGTCCCTGCTGCTCGATACTGGTCCTTACCACCCCTTTATCCCCCTCCGCCCTTCCAGGATGCCCGACGGCGTGCAGGCTGCGCTCAAGGTGGCGGCGCCCTCTTCCTACGAATCAGCCCTCCTTGCGCACGAGGCGGAGGTGCTGCTGGCCCTTCGCCAAGAGTGGGGCGTGTGGGTGCCCGCACTGCTGGCCGCGGGCGCCGGCAACGGCGGCGCCAGCCGCGTGCTGGCCACCGCGTTCGTCCGCTCCTCCAGGGAGCTGGACCCCAGCACTGACAGGCACCTGCTGCCCCAGCTGCGGCAGGCGGTGGCGGCGGTGCACGCCCGCGGCGTCGCCCACAGCGACGTCCGGCGGCAAAACGTGCTGGTGCAGGAGGGCGGCGCGCATAAACAGCGCGTGTGGCTGATTGACTGGGGGTTTTCGGCGCTGCAGGCGACACAGCAGGCAATGGACGAAGATGTGCGCAGGCTGCTGCAGCTGTTTGATGGCTGACTCACCCATTGCAGTCATGGTGCACGGATACATGAGGTGCGGGAGCAGAGACGCTAATGCGGTCAACCAAGATGGTTGAGGGACAAGTCAGACGAGCGCAGGGCACACACGCCATCCAGTGTACAACAATTCTTTCGGCCCAGAACTTCAAGTGTGCAGCCGTTGGCCATTCACCATCAGTTGTCAAACTTGTACCATGGCGTTGCTCAGCCCTTCAATCGCTTTCTTCCTTCTCTGTAAGCAATCACCTGCCAATGCAACGTGTACTGCATTGTGGCACATGTGCATATCTGAACAGAAAGGTTTGTTGTGGCTTGGCAGACAGCCATTGGTGTCATGTGTCCTGTGGTTTGAGCGTTGTGTACACACAGACAGCGCCGGCGAACACAAGCAAGGCCGGCACTGCTTGTGTAGCTGATGTTATACAATGCCATGCGGGCCGCCACCAGCAGAAGAAGCCCAGGAACCACTTTGCAGGCGGGAAGCTCTGGACAGTCCAGGGTGGCGTTGCTCAGCGCAGGCGCAGTGGCAATGAAAACCAACATCAACGGTCACAGCGCGCACACGTTCGAGGTCGGAGGCCGCACAAAACCTAAAGACGTCGATGATGCAAGCACGCAGCTGTGGCTGCGGCTGGCACGTGTCGTGACGGTTGCAGGGTGCGCGCATGCAACGGCACAGAGCTGGGAACAGCAGTCGCGCCGGCCGCCCGTTGGCGCAGCAGGCCGGCTGGCGGTCCCCATGGGCAGCTGGCCGCTTACGGCCTGCACACACGTCAAGCGCCCCAACGGTTGCAGCTCTCAAATCTCGCAACGCATGCCTGAATGCCAGCTGCCATGCTTTAACCCATTCAGTGGGCGCGGAGTGGCCTGCTTTGCTGCAAGTGGGGGCGCGCAGGTGGCCTGCAGCGATGCAGGACCGCATTGAACCCTAACAGCAGCCAGCTGCGGCAGGTACCACGTGCCAATGCTGATGGAACTTCCATACTCGTATTCTCCTTGCCTCTTTCGTACAGGGCTACGGTGCGCAGCCTGGCTCTTGAGCTCAGGGCTTGTGTGCGATTTGAGCTTGCACGACATTGGCACCACGAATGTCTCCCCAGCTGGTTGCCAACTCACGTTCACTCCCCTGCCTTCTCAATTTGTACAAAAAATCTGTCGAGTGCGCGCCACCTACCGTGCCTTGTTCGAGCAAGCACCCGACCGCACTCACGCCTTTTAGGTGAGCTTACGTACGATATGCACGCCCTCCGCGCTTGAAGCTGCAGATTCTATCCAGAGCAGGTAACCGTGCCTGATGGGCAGGCCTTGCCCCCAGCGTTGAAATTTGCAGTGGGTTGGCACCTCCAGGCTGTGCAGCTCGCTCGCACCCCCTTGCAGTGATGCCACTGTGCTGCTGACGAGCTAGGAATAGTAGGCAACAGGCACATGCATGGGGGTTAGCCCCCTGGAATCAGCGAGGAGCTCATCCTGCCCTTTTCCCAACTTTTCTGTGTCCTGCGCTGCAGCCTGAGCAGGAGGGGGCTGTGGCAGAGAGGTGGCTACTTTCTGCCAGGTGCGTGCGCTGTTTGGAACCCTTACTTGGCACAGCTGGCGCATAACAAACCGCAACAGTGCACTATCGCCAGCCAGTGCCAATACAGTGCCTGCTATGAGGTGCAGTGCTGCCCTCAGCCCAATGCTGGCTTCATTGCTGTATGTGCTGAGTATGGTTTCGGGCCAAGCGTTTGCGCGTACGGTACAAACACTCTCCGTCTGCCACACATCGCTCACCCATCACTCGTCGTAGTGTCAGCCACCATGGATGCGTCGGATCCAAGGCAGCAGCTCTTGCAGGCACTGCCTGCGCTGTTTCCAGGCAACGACAAAATTGGCTTCTGCGGCGATGCGTCAGCGGCCATCGGCCGGATGCCCGCTGTCTGGTCTGCTAATCTGCTGGCCGTGCAAGAGCCCTACAGGAAGGCCGCCATCGAGGCAGCTGTCCGGGGTGGGTGGGGCTTCTTGTGATGCAGTGACATGGTCGGTGCAGCAACTGTGGAGTGTGTGTCTCCTGCATGCACCTGTCCTCCTTATCGCAAAACACAGGGGTTCGTGAGGGTTGGTGCCAGGGGGCAATGACAGGTGGGTGCAGCTGCTGTGCCCATCACACGGCAGATGATGCCTTGTGTCTATCACATGCTCGACAGCAGCTGGGGCTTCATTTTCTTGGCTGAAGGCCCAGCTGCACCCCCCCCCATTCTTGCTACGTGCTGTTGCCCCATCATCATTTGCCGGCCTTCCCTTCCACTGCGCACCGCTGCCTTTTCCCATCTTTCGTGGCAACCAAACCATTCGTGAATGCTGGCCACGGAGCAGAAGAGGCAGCAGCAGCAGGTGAGGCGTCCGCACTGCTTGCCACATCGCTGGGGTAAAATCTGCCCAGCGGATGCGCTGGCCAGGGTTGAGGGGAAGCGATGGTCCCGTCTGGGTAAAAAAGGATTGTTGGTCAGGCTTGTCGTCTGTTGCAGACCCACTTGCTCCTTGCAAGCGGTACAGCGCGACACAGCCACCTACCCTCCTCTTTCTACCTGCAAAGCAGCAGCATGCCGCACGTGCCATCGCGCGTGTCGGATGCGCACCGAACGAGTGCCCGGCCACCTCGCGCGCACCTGGTGCCCTGCCCGACGCACCCCAGGTCCCCAACGCGTTCGAGAGCTGCTCCGGGCGAAGCCCCTCAGCACCTGGGGCCTCCAGATGCGGAACAAGACCCCCTCTTCAGAATTTTGGGACTACGCGGAGTGCGTCGTGGAGGCGTGGGACCTGGATACTGGCGAGAGGCAGCGGATTCTGCAGTACCTCACTGACGAGTGCGGGGAGGCTACACTCAAGGACAGCCCCTGCGCCGACTGGCATCTCGACAGCGTGCTGCGCACCGAGGCGGACTGCAACGCAGTGTGAGTACTCCCGGCAGGGCAAGACGCGTCGGCAGGTGCACGTTTGTTCTGTAAACTGCGCCTTGGGTAGGGCCTCCTTGTCCCTCAAGCGTCCTGATGCGCGAGGGCTGAATATTTACTTGTAAGCACGTCGGCACACTGTTGGTCTTGATCTGACTTGTGGTGGCAAGGCATGTTGGTTGAGCACCCAGCTGTCCTGGTTCCTCCAGGTTTTGGAGCTGCTTTGGGGCCCCAGTGGCGAGAATGTTCACTGCAGTGACCGGAAAGCACACCACGTTCTCTTGCCAGCTGGAGGACGATTCGGCCCTCGGCGTGCCGGACTTTTGGTTTGGGGGCGCTCGTGCCGGCAGCGCGCTGCTGCTCGGAGAGGGCAAGGTGCGCACGACCCGCCAGCACGGTTGCCGACCGTTGCGCATGCAGCCCGCAAGCATGACACTTTCGGCGGGACATCACCAGCATCCCCTGCTGAAGGTCCCGACGCCGCACAAGTCAAGACGGTCCTGCCACCTATTCTCACCTGCGCACCGCTCTCGCCTTGCCTCGCGCTCTCGCTGATGTCCCTGACACCGCGACAACACATCGTGGTTGTAGACGCCGTTGATGCTGGGTGCGTGTCTCTCGCTGCACGAGGCGGTCCGCGACGAAGAGATCGCCTCCAGTTGTGCGGAGGAAATATGTGACTACATGCGCAAGCGGGTGCGCGCAAACACATTTTGCTGGGCCGGCTAGTATGTCGCGATCGGGACACGTCGAACGCACACGCCCTGCAAAGTCTGCAGTAGCTTGTGCAAGCAAGGCGTGACGCAGCGTTGCTGCGCACCATCCCCCCCCATGCAGGGCATGACATACGGCTTCCTGACGTGCCTCAACAGCACGTACTTCATAAGGCGCACGGGGCGTGACCGATACGAGTTCACAGACGCGATCAGGCCCTTTGACACAGGCCCCACTGTCCTCGAGATGCTGATGTGTAAGTAGGGCGGGAAACAGGGCTGGCAGGGCTAGGAGTGCGGCCGACCCTGGTTACCTATACGCCACCCAGCCTGCATATATACAATACTTTGACAAGGAATTGAGAGGTCCAGCTGGGTGGTAGGCTGAGTGCTTGCCGGCGACATGAGAGGTGTGCTCTGCACCCTGCATCATGTGCAACTTACAGCACGCCACATCACGCGTACCTGTCGCTCGACACACATAGACGTGTTGATGAAGCAAGAGGAGGCCGGCCCTTGGCCGAGCGCCACGGAGGGCGGCGAGCAGCAGGCTGTGCCAGCTGGCGCCACCTCGGCAGCAGCAGCGGCAGCCAGCCGCAATCAGCGGTACCCTCTGTGCTCGCGCATAGCGGACGCCAGCGGGGCCAGCGGTGGCCAGAAGGCTGGCAGCTCTGAGCAGGAACACGCCGCGTCTGCTCTGGAGCTCACCGGCAAGCGCTTGGGGTGGGGCAAGTGCGGCGGCGTCAATGTTGGCTGGTGCGCGCCAAATGGGGGTTGAATAAGTGCCACTAGGTTGCAGGCAGCCGCAGCAAAGCACAGGCCTACCTCTGGGTGCCTCAGACGCGTCTGGTCTCGTTCAAACTTGATGGCACGCCCTGGATGTGCGCCGCCTGCTGCTTCCGCGTCGCCCTGCGCTGCGTAGGTAGAGAGGCTGGGTACGCCTCAACTTGTCAATTGGCATGCGTCTCCCGTCGCAGGTTCCACGGGCAACCGGCTGCAATCAAGGCGATAGACCTCTCTAAGCAGGGCTCCCTGCTGCCCGCGCTGCAGGCGGAGGTGGCAATCTACGGTACAGTGGGACCTCCTGCGTGCGATGCTGCCACACCATCGAATTTGCGTGCGGCGGATGCTTTCTGCGACAGTTGTTTTCGGCCGCTCTCGAGCCCCACTGGTGCCGCACGCGTCCACCATCCTATGTGTGGCCACCTGTGTACGCGCACGGCTCGTAACATAAACGAACGCGCCTTGCCGCGCGCGGGTGCTGTCGTGCCGCATCAGGTGCACTGCCTGCGTCTCAACCCCAGGGGATCCGTTGCGAACCCTCCCCTTCTCCCCCCCCCCCGACCCGCAGACCGCCTGAAGCCGCTGCAGGGCGTGTGCATCCCCGTCCTGTATGGCTGCGGCTTCTGGAACTACAGAAACACGTATTTTGTGGCCACATCAATCGTGGCTGGCAAGCAGCCTGGCCGCAGCACACGGGAGGGACGCCAGGCTGCGGAGCAGGTGGGCAGGTGGTGAGGTTCGATGGGCAGCCAAAGTGCGGCAGCCCAGGGCTTCGTTGATTGCAAGGCAAGCGGGCAATGGGTGTGGTTGGCTGCACCACATGCCTTACTGGATGGCGACACTCCATGGCATTGCCCTTACGTGGTTTACCCCTTGCATGGCCCTACAATTGTGCCCCATGCCTACCTCGGCAGGCGCTGCGGCAGATCCACGCCCGGGGCGTTCTTCACGGCGACATCAGACGCCCAAACATCTTTGTGGCTGTCGTGGACGGCCGCTGGGAGGTGACGCCCCACAGCCCCTGGCAATCTCAGCTCAACATCAGGGTTGGGGGTTGTGATCAAGATCACTGCTTTTGAAAAACGTCAAGTTTCAATTGGGAATGTATTGTCGGGTTTGGCAAGGTACATGCCGCACGCAAAGCCTTGTGCTTATACCTCACACTCCCATACTTTTTCTGGTGCCCACAAGTACTAGGCCAGCCAGTATTCTTGCACCAGGCTTTCAAGCTGTCATCCCACAACGCGGCTCACAAACCAACGTGCGGTGCCCCCCCCCCACGTATGTAGGCGTGGATCATCGACTTTGATTTTGCCACAGCTTCAAGCGATGCGGACGCTCAAGCCGCTGAGCTGGCGGAGCTGCTGGCGCTGTTCGGGCCCTCTTGACGCGGGCACGAGCACCAACAGTCACAGCAATCTGTGCTGCAATCAACAGCGCCTGCCGCCAGGCAGCATGAGGATGCCGATGCAGTGTGGACTCAAGCTGCTTGCTTTCTCACTACCTGTTTCTCAAGTGGGCCTCCGTCCCCGGTGCATTGTGTGGTGGCTTGCCAGGATTCACGAAATGCTCCCTGCAATGGGGGCCTGTCGGCCTCGACTTTATGATTTCTCTATATATCCACTGGCCGCATGGCTAATTTATGTAACCTGTGAGTGCTCAAGCGCTTGCGCTGGCCCCCATCTTGCGGTGGCAGCGACGGGTGGGTGGGATGGCGAGCGGAGCTTACGCTCTCCCCTGTGCACGCATGACTTGGAGGTGGCGCCTGCTGCTTGCCGGCAGTAGCATGGGGAAGCGTGTGTGCAGAGGGTCGGCAGAGACGCCCTGACTGCACCGCATGGGGCGGTGGTCGTGGCGGGCGGAGAGGTAATGGGCCGCACTTCCGCTGCTGTGCTGGAACAGCCCCCTGCAGAGTAATGAGACTGGCAGGGGTTGGCTGGCGCGGCTGTGCGGTGCGCGCGTCTAGAGGCTGGGCTGCAGGAGGCGTTCAGGTGACACCATTTTGCGCCCGTGGGGTAAGCACGGTTTACTCCCTACACGCGTTTGCAAGTTTGCTGGATGCGAAGTGGCGCCCGACAGGGCGAGCAGCACAAAACATGCGCACCTGGTAAAACACTCGAAAAACAAAAGAACAGCGCCGGAGGCACTCGAAAGGGGGGCAAAGCGCCCTAGTCAAAAAGGGAGAGCACCGACACGTCTGCCAGCGCCACAAGCAGCGCACCAACGAGCGTCAAAGTCAGCGAGAGAGAAAACCCTACTGTACAGGACCTGACGCGAGGGGCCGAATCCCCCTGCCCCCAAAAAGCCAGCTTACCCCGCGGCTGCAACACCTCCAACCGCCGCGCCGCCGCGCCGCCTGCTGCTCTAGGATGCAAGCGCGCCGCCCCCGCACCGCCCCCTCACTCGGAGCCCTCCTCGTCGCTGCCGCTGCCGCCGGCCGCGGCCTCCGTGACCCTGAACTCCACCTCGTACTCCTGGTCGCACCCCAGCCAGCTGTCGCTCATGTAGAACAGCGTCAGCTTCGCCGCCCCCACCTCCGCCGGCGCCTCGAACGCGAGCTTCACCTTGGCCGCCGCCGCGAGCGACACGCGCTTGATCGCCAGCAGCTTGTTTGCCTTCGGGTCCCCGAGCACGAGCCACCAGCCCTCGTCGCGGCGCCCGGGGAAGCGCGGCGCGTGGACCGGCGGCAGCTCGCCGCCAGGGCCGAGGGCGAGGCCGTCGGTGTCGCGCTCGAGGGAGACTGACACCGCCGACGTGTCGCCGGCCTCGACGGCGCCGCCGGGGGGGCCCTCGAAGGTGAGGGAGACGTCGGGGTAGCGGGTGCAGACGGCGCCCAGGGCAGCCAGCTGGGCGTCGGTCATCTTTGGGG